TTGCTGACCAAGGCCAGGCTGGTTGCTGTTAGTTCTTAATTTATAACCCAATACCTTTATAACTTCAGTTCTTGAATCTAGTCCTGGTCTAAATTTTCAGGCATTAGGTGTTGTGAGGGGAAAAGCATACAAGCATAAATGGATTTCCGTTCCTCTAAGGGAGGAAGTAAAGGATTGAAGAAGATGAGAGAGCGGTAGAGAATGCCTGCCCTTTCAGTGCATGGATTCCTCATTTCTGTGGGTTTCCGTTAGGATCTTAAGTCCAGGCTCAGGTTCTGCCAGAAAGGGTCCTGAGTGACTGAAAAGCTGAGAATGCAGGTAGTGTAAATTTAGATTAAGGTAGCAATTTGGGAACCTGCAGATCAAGGTTTTCTCCTAGATCTACCATGAAGTACCGGGAATTTTGTGCAAATTGTGCTTTTTGAGAAGAGAAATGTCCACACCAGAAATTAAGGATGAGCTGTATAAATTGTTCACAGCATAGTTTTGAAAGTAAATTCATATGACTGCAATTTGGTGACAAGCCCTGTGAAATCACAACTTTGGAGATAATTACCAAAGTAGTTTGTTCAAATAGTAAATGATGTGACTCCTTACCCCCCAAGCACATTCATTTTCATGGATACAAAATCAGTATATACAAACCAGTAGGGGTCCTGGCGCACCAGCAATACTCAGCAAATATAATGCAAACCGGACTTCCTGTTTTACACTTGGAGATGATCTTTTCCCAAAGCCCATACTTGATGTGCCTGCTTTTGGCCTCCTTTCCAAATCTCCTATCTCATCCTTTTTGGACGTAAGATTTTATCTCATTGTTTATTTTCTTTCAGACAGGGGAAGTAAAAGTACAATTTGCCCTCTGGCGCAAGTTTTCCCTTCTTTGTGACAACTGTGGCTTTCTGATAAAGGAAAACCCTTACCAGGAAACAGTGTATATCCTATCCAGTCATTCTGTCAGCTTTCCTGAGTACCGTTTCTTTTATCTCTTTGATCTTAAGCATATTCCTTGGAGCCTGGGGTGGACCTACTGTGCTGGTTAGGGTCCTCTGCTGCTCCACCTGTCAACCCTGTGTTTAGACTGGCTGCAGGAGTTGGCACAAGACGATTTTAGCCTTAAGGAACTTTTCGGAAGGCCTGAATTGGAATGGAGGTTATAGGGTGTAACTTATGATTATGGCTTTGCAGCCCAGTCTGAAAGTCTGCACTCAGCTCTTAAATTGGAAATTTCATGCACAGTCCAGTATAAAAGTCGGCTGGAATCTTCTAGCACAAGGTAGAACTCTCGTTTGGCACTAGGTGTGCTCGGTTTTATATCTCCCCTAAAAGGCAAGTTCGTTCTTTACCTTAGAAAAAACTCCAATGTTTTTTGTTTTTTCAAATAAAATTGTTTGGCTTATGGGTAGAAGGAGATGCCACCATTCTTAGTAAGATGGCACTGTGATGTACTTTTATGCTAGGGTATGGAAAATGTCAGAATTTGGATCTAGGGACTTCCAGAAAGGAGCCAGACGGCCTCTGAAAATTTCAAGGAGATACACGTCTGCACTAAAGTTAGTGCACTTTAATGATGCAACAGCCCCATCATTACACACTTTTACTTTCCAGACCTGCTGTATGCTGGAAGTGGGGAGGGGGGCCGCCAAGAGACGTTAGCAGTGCAGTGACAGCTGATAGCAGGCGAGAAACAGATTTTAAAAAGCTGGCAAAACAAAACTCAAAGTGTAGCCCATCAGAGACTGGCCAGGGCTAACTTCTTCCATAGGCCCTGAGCAGACACTGTAGCTGTGAAGTTCGTCCAAGGCCTGGTAGCATCCGGTCTCGTGGAATTTTATTCTGAGTTAAAAAGCCTTTGGAGGGTTTGGACTGGAAAGGGAGGTGATTGCATTATGTTCTGAAAAGTTAATTCTGCCTGTTGTGTGGAGAATGGATTGCAGGGAAGCAAGGAGGTGTTAGGAGGTGGTCCAGGTAGAGATGAGGGTGGCCGGGGCTAGCGTGATAGCAGTGGAGATGGAGAGAAGTGGATGGTTCCAAGATAGATGCTGGAGCCAGAGTTAAAGGTGTGCTGACGGAATGCTTGTGAGGGGTCAGGCGAAGAGGAATCAGCGATGACTTCTAGGGTTTGCCTTGAAAGACAAGGAGGGTGCTTGTGTCGTTTATTGCGATGGGGACGACTAGAGGAGGAATAGGTTTAGGGAGAAGGAGGTGGGTCAGCGGAGATCTGGTTTTGCACGGGAAGAGTATTAAGAAAGCTTTTAGACACACAGATGGATGTGTCCTTAACTTCATAAAGAGAAATTGAGAAAAGATTTACCTGTAAGGTGATTACAGTGTTGGAACTCTGAAACTGTCTTAAACTGAAATTCCCTGAGGGTTCTGGGTATCTGGGGTTCTACAAATAAACGTCTAAAATAATTTGTTTTGACTCATCTGCACAGTATTTGTATTCTAGGTAATTTCACTTTAAAATGGTACCATGATTCCTCCAAAGAAATTTATTATGCTGGTTAGTGACAGATCGTCAGAACCCCTGGATTCCTTCCATCTCTTGTTACTAGCTGCGATTCATATATTTTTCTTTGTTACATTGTTTGATATACAGGAGTTAAATGTTCATGTGGTTTAGTCTTTTCCTTTCTGATTTTAGGGGTCTTTTCCCCCCTAAGCTCAGAAAGTTATTGCCCTGGAGAGATTTTTTAAAATAGCTTTTTTTTTTTAATTCCAGAAGGGGTGGAAATCATCTCAGCCTCATTTTTTCCCCCAGATAGTACATTATCTCAGCCCCATCTGTTGAGTAAGCTCCCATTTCCCTACAATTTGGAATGCCATCGTCATGATACTCACAATTTCTGGGCATGTTTTTGGACTTGTGTTTTGTTCCATTGATCTTTCTGTCTGTTCTGGTGCCAGTACCACCCGTTGGAATTATTGGAGGTTGAATAATATTTTCATATCCGGTAGACAAGTTCTCTTTTGTTACTCTTCTGTTTCAAACATTTCTTGGCGACACTTACCTGTTCTTGCTGGGAGAGTTTGATGCTATTTAGATTTTTTTTTTAATTAATGGTTGGTTAAAAGGAAAAAGCCTACATACTTAGCTTTTTAGTCCATTTTTATGCCCAGAACACTGAGCGAATCCAGCACCTTTTATTTCTCTTGATCTTTCCTCCCCTGGGCTGATGTTGGGGCACTGTTCTTTCTGTACTTTCTCAGAAGGAAAAGGTGGCTGCTGTCCCTTCTTTGCCCCAGGAGTGAGGAAGGGCTCCGTTAACGATTAGCATCAGTCTGTAGAGAATTGTGGGAAGAAAGTTTGAGAAACACCAGCTTTAGATACAGGAATCTTATTGCAAGATATTGTATCCCAGTTAATGGCCCCTTCCTGGTGCTTTCGTGAAGGTAGACTGTTCCTTTTCAACCTTAATGAACAAATCTCGGAGTTCCTTCCCTTATTTCTTGGACTCAGTAAACCATGTTTGTCTTGAAAGAGTTTAGAGCAATACTTGCTTTCTCAGGTAGAATTCAGTTTAGTAGACATTTACTGACAGCCTCACAAAGGCAAATAACCAACCCGTAAGTGAACAGTTGCAGCACGACCCATTTCACAGTATGAGTTCCCTGTATGAGAAAACTAGTGAAAAATGTGGTCCTGAAAATGAGTTTAGTTTTATATGTCACGGTTCCAGATCTTGATGCCCTCAACAGTTAAAATGTTCCAAGGATAGCCGTGGTGGTCAGTAGAGGATTATACGTGATTGTGTTTTCATCGTGTTGGCAGTTTCACTTTTCCCTGTCCATTAATTAAGCTGCTATTTCTTGAAAATCGACTAATAATCCTATCCCTGCAGAGTTCATCATCTCGAGAAGGAAACGGATGATAATTCTGCATGATGAGGGCTCCCAGGGTGCTTGGAGATGCCTGCAGTGTTTTATGAATGGATCAAGAAAGATCTCTCCCACACTCCTCCCCTTGTTCCTTCACTTAGTCCTGAGGGCTGAGCAGGAGTTTCGAGGCAGAGACGGCAGGTTCCAGGAAACATGGACTAGCAGGAAGTAGTGAAGGAGCGATGAGAAAGGCCAGTTCACGGGGGCTGGGACGTGAGATCTAGTCGCTCTTCTGGAAGCGTTCCACAGGAATTAAAGATATGCTCTGAGATGTACATACGGAGTGGACGTTTCCGCTCTCGGTGGAGTCCTGCGTTAGGAGCTGTAGAACATCATTGATTTCACTGACTTCCCCACACTGGGAACTACTTCTCTAACCATCAGAAATGATGTGGCTGGAATACGTTTATTGAAATGAGGAGAGGTTCACAGTATGGTTAAGTGAGAGTAGGTTATAAAGTTGCTTGCCCAGTATGAGACTATTTTTGTTTAAAATCAAACAAAATAAACTTATGTGTTTGTGTAGCATAGAAAAGAAAGTGTAACAGAATATACACACCTCGATGTTGAATGACTTTTCATATTCTTCTTGGCACTTTTCTACAATGAGCAGCTATTTTGTAATAAAGCTACAGAGCTACAGTAGAAAAAGGAGATGCTAGCTCTTGGGAGGAAATGTGAGTGTAGTTTTGAGCGTATTAAACCGTAGGTACCTTAGGATTGCTGGGCACAGATGGCATGTTGGCCATTGGCTTCCTGGGGCTCAAGTCTGACGTCGTTCTTGTTCCAGTTAGTGGCATTTAATCCTGTCCTGAAATGTAGGGGTGAATATGCTCCTTTGGTTACTGTAACTGTATTTTCCTCAGTTACTGTAACTTCACACTTCAGGGTGGTACTTGGGAGAATCATGTGACAGCGTTTTTGTTTTTTTTGGTGAGGAAAATTGGCCCCGAGCTAACATCTATTGCCAATCTTCCTCTTTTTGCTTGAGGAAGATTGGCCCTGAGCTAACAGCTGTGCCAGTCTTCCTCTGTCTTGTATGTGGGACGCCACCAAAGCTTGGCTTGATGAGTGGTGTGTAGGTCTGCATCCAGGATCCAGGCTGCCGAAGCAGAGTGGGCAAGCCCAGCCACTACACTACCAGGCTGGTCCCAGGTGACAGCATTTTTAATATGAGGTCCCTGGCTTCTATATACAGTATTAATGTAAATATTCATTGCCTCCACCTGTTGTTGATGTCTTTTTGGATTCTGGTTCTGGATGGAATTGGGGGAATAAGAGACTTAGTTACGGTTTAAAAGTAGTGAAGTTGTCTATCTTCTTGCTTTAAGACAGTGTCGTTTCTGAACCATTTATACCTACAGTATTTGTTCTGTATCCGAGTACATTTGTTTATGGGTGATTAAAAATAAGATGTGGTCTGCTCTGGGCTTGCCAACGCCAAACATGAGGATTATTGAAAATGTAGATATTAATGCCGTTAAAATGATTGTTTTGTAAGGTGAACCTCCGTGTAGAGGCTGCTTTTGTGTCAAACTTTCTTCTGTATGTTTCCAACCTAACGCCAGAAAATGATTGGACAGGATGTAGAGTAGCGGACGCAGAAATAAGGGTTTCAGAAGCTAACGTTTGAATAAAGTCTTCTGGCCTTCAATTAAATCCCGCCCAACCTCCTTGCCAGGCAGGTCTCGGCCAGGCAGACTGAGTGGGCGGAAGTGGCTGAAGTGGATGTACGGCTGCTCTCCTCATCTGTGGTCACAGTTGTCTCAGCCCTGTCAGTGGAGGAGGAGGAGAAATGTGGGTGACAGCCTGGGAAACAGAGAGCCAGGAGGCTGGCCAGTGGAGGCTTTAGAGTCAGACCCCATTGGCATTCTGACTTCGATGTTTATTAGCTTTATGATCTTGGGCACATGCCTTACATGGCCCTGAGTCTCGGTCTCCTCCGTCGGAGGTGGACACCAACACCTCGCACACCTTGTAGCGTTGTCGTAAGGTTGAGTGCCGCATGCCTTCAGCACTGGTCTGCCCTTGGGAACTGCTCGGTGAAGGCTGCCTGTGGGCTGTTGTGAAGGGGACTTGATGCCAGGCACTGCCTCAGTAGAGGGCTGGCTTGCAGAGGGGCTGGCCAGAATAGCCTCACCGTGGTTTTATTGTTTGCATGAAGCAACACTGATTTTTTTTTTACTTAGAATTAGATTTGAAAACTAATTTTGTTCATGCATGATTAAGAATTAGTTGCATATTTATGCTTTTAAGTGTATAGCAGCACAATACAAACTATGTAGGGTAGCTCTCCAATACTAGAAACATTGGAAAGTATCATGAAATCAGAATTTGCCTTCTGTCGGTAATGCTCCAAATTTTAATTCTTAGGTTTCAAAGAAGGTGTATTTGTGGTCTCTCCTGATGAGTATTCTCATTGTTTGCAGTGAACCTGGGCTCCAAGGGCAGGTTGCTATTAGCTCTTAATACCTTGGAACTGCTTCCTGGGCTAGTGCCCAGGCCATTGTTGAGGTGGGAAGCTGTAATCCACCCACCAACAGCTTTATTGAGGCAAAAAAGGCTGTTTAATGCTTACTTTCACCTTAAGTCCGTTTTTTAGGATTAATGGTAAAGAGTATAATTTCTCTTTAAAAATTTTTCCCACACTTTGTAATCTCTGTTCTGTTTCTCCACTTGCTTCCAAAAAGAATTTGAGATTGCTCATCTTATCGGGTCATACACAGTGAGACAGTTAAAGATTTTAAAAGAGGAAGCCACATATCCGGAAGCAGCAACCTGCAGCTACGTGCGTGGGCTGCCTGGCTGTGAGCTCTGCGAGACAGGACAGAGATAATGGACTGAAGAGTGCTTGCAGCATCCTGCCCGAGGGGGTTCCTGCAGCTCCTGGAGAGGCCTGGAGTCATCACTGTTAGCCTTGGAAGACCTCTGAGTTTTCCCAAGACCTGATCAGGTTCAAGTCACGGCTGCTCTGCCTGGCAGCATAGAACGTCCTCCGTGCACTGTTTTGCGAGGATGAATTATATTGCTGCTCCGTCAGACTCTGCTTCCTGTAAGGATACCCACTGCGTTTGCCCTGCCTTCCTACCATGGACCCATGGGAGACATTTCCCTCAGGTCCTAGGATCTGGGATAGTTATTTCACTTAACCCTGAGTACTGAGACAGCCTTGTGACTTCTCTTGGTTGCCCGCTGGAAGGCTCATAGCTGAATTGGGGCCCACCTTTAGCAGATGTCGGGGCCACGTGATGGCAGATAGGTCTCAGCGCGTGAGCTCACTCGGAGCCGGCATCTCACAGTGCTCTGCTTGGTTTGGTGTTTGCTGGTGTTTGGACGTAGAGCGAGGCAGGCAGCCTGGCCATGCTTTTGCCCTCCCTGGTACAGGTGCCACCTTCACCCTTGCTCTGACTTTCCAACACTTGTCTGTCTTTGGCCTCATTTTCTTGCTTATTTTTTTCATACCATATGCGTTTTGCTTAAGTTATCTTAAATCCTTTCTGTAATAGGGAAGAATATAAATATGTCCATTTAATTCCTATTATCTATCAGTTCTACAGGGGAAAAACTATGTTCTCCCTTCCTTCCTTGACTCCAAATTTGAGGTGAATTGGTCATACGAGTCTTTTCAGACTTATCTCTGTAACCATCAGACAACATACGTTATTGTGATTTGGGAGAACTTACAGAACATCTCCCCTTTTTACTTATAAAAATTAGTGTAACTGTTAAAGTTTAGCAAATGTGAAAGAAAGTACTCAGTCTTACTCCATTTTTCTTTTAGTTTTTGTCAGAGTAAAAAAATATTTTTTTTACAAAAGTCAAATTTTCTGTTGTCTTTTTATTTCTTTGCATGCATTTTAGCTTAAAGCTTTCCCCCAGATTAAAAAAAAAGTTTCTAACTCTAAATATACTTATGTGTTGCAGAAAATTTAGAAAATGTAGAAAACATGAAGAAAAATAAATTCCTTCTGATCCTCCATCCAAAAATAATCACAGTAAACACTGTGGGGTGAAGTTGTACATTATTTTATTTTTGTATGTGTACTTCTGTTCCCTCAGTAATCCACATCATGAGTACATACTATTGCCCGCGTTTTAAACTTACTCATATATTAGGAATGTGTCCCCAGGATGACGGTTAGGCAGTTTTGTACAGAAATGTACGTAGTTTTCCTTAAAACGATGCTGAATGGCGATGGAGACTGCTATAGAGGCCTACTCGGCAAGGGCATTCCTTAGTGAAGCTGATGGTGTCCAACTGCATCGCTTGCCTGTGGTTCACCTTGGGACAGGGACCGCGTTTGGAAGCCTGGAGGAGTGGAAGATTGTGTCCTTGGCCCCCTCAAATTTCAGTTGTCTTATCTGTGCCTTAGCAAGAGTTGGTATCAGTCCACTGAAAATTGAGCTTTCTGCCAACGGCCTTTGCAGATGTTCTGCTGTTTGCATCAAGTGTTGATGGCAAAGTTGACATTTGCTTATGAAAATTAAGGAACTTGACCTGTTTCTGTCCCAGAAGGAGGGCCAGCTTGCTGCTTCAGCAGCACTTCCTTTGAAATTAGTAATGTACTCCCCCTGCTTCCCCAGGATGGTGAATCATGACTTAGGTTTCAGAACTCTCTAACTTTATGGAGCTGTTTAAACTAAAGGTAACCTAAGAGAAAAGATCATAATTTCTTAAGATTGGAGGATTTACAAAAACTTCGTATGGAGAGGTTTCCCTCAAACCACCAGTCATTTAGAGCAGAAAAAGGCAACATGAGGTTTTTTCCTGGTTTACCTAAAAAGGAAAAGGTAATAATTGGGTGGACTTACCATAGAGCTGCCGAGAGGCTCCAGGGGTGGTTTGAGGTTAGGTCGTCTGTTTTTCAAATTAATTGGTTTCTCTTCTTGGACGGGTCACACCATTTCAAGTCATAGTTGGGGCGTTAATCGCATCAGCGGTGTTCTCGGGCTTCCATCACTTTGCTCAGTCTGGTGGGGCACATGGGAAGCAGGGCCAGACGAAAGTGAACTTTGATCCCCTGTCTAATATGAAGGATTCCGATGTTTTAAGTGAAAACACTTTCAAAGTTTAAAGTGTTATTAGACTTCTACCATTGTCTGAGATTGATAGTAAAACAGAATTCTAATATATAGGTTGAGTGTCAGGATTTTAGCCAGAAATGTGAGAAGTGGCATTTTCTGTAATACTTTGGCTCCTGGGTATAATCTTGAGACCGATGACTCCAAATTCAGCCCCCACTCCCCTCTCTCCCTCGTTTGCTCTTTCACTACCTTATTTTATTTGCGAAGTCCTGTCTCCCTTAATAAGTCACACTTATGTAAAGTTTACTGCATGCCGGGCTGACTTCTGAGCACTTTAGAGATAATAATCCATTTAACCCTCACAACAGCCCCATAAGGGAGGCACTCTAATTACCCCCAGTTTACAGAAAGGGAAGCACAGACTAACTTGCCCAAAGTGGAGTCGGGGTTCTCACCCCAACAACCTGTGCCAGAGCCCATGCTCTTAACCATCGTACTGTGTGTCGTCTGTTTAGTGGGCTGTTCCTTTGAAGCAGACATTGTCTTATCCACCCCATGTCCCAAATAATACCATGATGCTTTAGTATCTGAATGGCTTCTGGGCTTGGCCGCTTTAGTACTACTGTGAACTTGGTCAGTTTTATTAATCACATTGTAGTTCAGAAGCAGTTGGGAGAAGCTAAAGTTAAGTTGATTTTGTTCGCTATCCTTGTTAAAGTCACTTGTAAGGTAATACAGACTATTTAGCTTTAAGTTATATTTTGGAAGTACCAGGAGTGATAGTATATTTCAACTCCAGCATGTCTGTGAATTTTACCTCTTATAAGTGTTTCCTGGCTGTGGTTTGATTCAGTTTCTTTCTGCATGTGGGAATGGTTAGTGTGGTTTATGGACAGCGATGAAAAGCTCACCTGGCAATGTCTCAGAGATAAGAGACAGAAATGATTTGTGTGCTTTTGCGCACTCACACACACGCATGCACAGCATCTTGAAGGCACTTATTTCACACCAGTGACAATATTTACTGACCTCTGTCATGTGCCAAGCACTGAAATTATTTATGTTTTCACATTGTTGTGACTGCCAAACACAAGTCATTTTTACATAAAGGGAGGAATCAGGGGCTCCTTGACTTGGATGGGGGTCTTCTCAGTGTAGCATCATCACTGACTTCCCAAGGCCAAGAAGTCGTCTCCCCTCCAGATGTTACTGCGTCAGAAGTGTGGGTTTAGGTTATCATATGTTCTATGTAGGTTTCATTCACATTTTTACATGGACTTGTCTCTCTATGAGAGGGGTTGGTTTCTCTCTAAATTAATTGCCCGATTCCTACTGTGTTTACAGCCCTTTTGTCAGGAGCATTTCCTTTGTGACAATGAAGTACGGTACCTGATCGAGCGTCTGTACTCCGACGGGGTCCATATATGCCGAACTCTTTGTTAAAGAGTTCCATAAGTGGCATAAGGCTCTCTAGATCCATCTGAAATCCATAAGTATCAAGGGAAAAATATTACAAAGACTGTGTTGCATCCGTTCTAAGATGCACATTTTTTCCCCACATTTTAACATCTCTGAAATGAGGATACATTTTGCAGTTGCTGGCATCATGTGATTATGATTGGCGGTAGTTTTTCTTTGTTATTGGAACACAGAACAATGGTGCATCTTACAGTCGACATCCTAAATTTGATGAAAAACTATATATATTTAATCCTTGGACTTTTTGAGAAGCATCTTTGACAAAAGTTCAGTCCCATCGAATTTTTTTCTGTTTGGATGAGATAAGTTTGAAGTCATTTTGTATTCCTTATATTTGGGTTAGGAAGAGAACTAAAAGCCAGTAATTGTTTAAGTACCTCGCTGTAGATTGTTTTTAAAATTACAAAAGTAACACTCTGCTTTAAGAATTGAGGTTTGCAAGATGAAAAAAGCTGTGGAGATGGATGGTGGTGATGGTTGCAGGACAATGTAGATGTACTTGATGCCACCGAACATTGTACTTTATTTTATTTTTTTAAGTATACCAATCCGTACACCCCTTTCTTTTTGAAGATTGGCCCTGAGCTAACATTTGTTGCCAATTTTCCTCTTTTTTCTCCCCAAAGCTCGCGTACAAAGTTGTATATCCTAGTTGTAAGTCCTTCTAGTTCTTCTGTGTGGGATGCCTCCATAGTGTGGCTTGATGAGTGGTATGTAGGTCTGTGCCTAGGATCTGAACCAGTGAACCCTGGGCTGCTGAAGTGGAGTGCACGAACTTCACCACTACGCCACGGGGCTCGCCCCCTGAACATTGTACTTTACAAATGATAAATTTCAAGTTACGTATATTTTATCACAATTAAACATTTTTTCTCAAAAAAGTAATATCATGCTTATAAAAATTTCCTTCAATATAGAGATAGCACAAAAAGCGAAAGTCATCTTTATCCACTCCCTGGCCCCTCCCCATTTTCCTATTCCTGTACCTCTTCCCCAGAGGTTTGGTGTGTATCTTTTCAGATATTTCTCTCCTGAGACTTTCCATTAAAGATATGTGTGGTTTTCATTGATCCTTCAAGTCACTTTCCACTATAATAAATACAACTGTAACAGTTAATAAAATAAAAATATATTGGGGAGAACATCATCTGGGAACTGTGCCTTTTTGATGTTGTTAAGGCTAAATATATGATTTCGTTTATTCTCTATGGTATTTTTCCTAGTAGTCTGTACAAATGCACTTTTGTAGCTAGACTACTTGAGATCTCAATACATAGGATAAAGAAAGCATAAGGGAAAGTATAGCACAATGGCATTAAGTCAGTTGTTCAGCAGCAGGATCCTTGACTTTTTTCCTTCTACTTGACCACCAGTTTTCCTCTGACAATGGGATGAGCAGTTCCCGTTGAAACTCTTGTTACCTGGTCTCCTTCAGCCGTCTCCTCCGCCCCTGGGGATTGCAGAAGGCACAGCCGTTTATTTCATTTTCTCTGCATTCCTTTGGTGGCTTCTCATGGCTTTTATCGCATACAGGCCCCATCTCTGGGGGATCTGCCAGGCCCTGCAGTTTGCTTGCGTCCTCCCCTCACAGCAGCCCCCACTTGCACTGCATTCTGGGTCCTTGACGTTCACCCCTGTCTCAAGGAAGCGTTCTTCGCTCTGTGTGTGTACTTTGCGTCCCCTTAGGACTGTGTGCCTTTCTTTCAGAGCACTTCTCCTAGTTCCTAGTAGTACGTATGTTCGCGTAGCTGTTTGGATAACTGTCTGTCTCTCCTGATGTCAGCTCCATGAGTGGGGGTCTTGTTTTGCTCACCACTGCATCCCCCTGGCCTAGCACATACATACTTGGCACTTGATGAGCATTCAAAGAACATTTCTAGAATGAACAATTTGATTTTTTTATTGTTTGTTTTATAGAGCAGAGGAGTTTGTAGGTATGGAGTTGATAGTATGAGAAAATTAACCTGAATATCTAGACCTTGGCTGCCCTGGCAATTTGGTTGTCAGCCATTGCTGAAACTTAGTTATCCTGGCAGTATTTTAACACTTCATCATCCTTTTTTGTTGGGGTGCTTTTGAAAATGAATTTGGACTTTGTAATGCCCAGTAGTATGGGCTTCCGTTAAGGGGAAACAGGAAGATCAGGTAGCTTTTTATCGTCCTTTTGAGCACACCCAATGATGCAATGTAAGTAGATAAGTGAATTTCTGGAAATGAGAAGCTTGAAATAAACCATTCCCTCACTGATATTTATTGTTTTAATTCCAGAACGTGGTCCAAGACGATTCCTGGGAAAGTCGAATTCTTCTCTAGTGAGGGTTCAGACACCTCGATACCAATTCCAATAGTGCCGCTGCGGGGTGTGGATGACTCCTACCCACCCCAGAAGAAGTCTTTCATGATGCTCAAGTACATGCATGACCACTACTTGGACAAGTACGAATGGTTCATGAGAGCAGACGATGATGTATATATCAAAGGAGACCGCCTGGAGAACTTCCTGCGGAGTTTGAATAGCAGTGAGCCCCTCTTTCTTGGGCAGACGGGGCTGGGCACCACGGAAGAAATGGGGAAACTGGCCCTGGAACCCGGGGAGAACTTCTGCATGGGGGGTCCTGGTGTGATCATGAGCCGTGAGGTCCTCCGCAGGATGGTGCCGCACATTGGGAAGTGTCTCCGGGAGATGTACACCACCCACGAGGACGTGGAGGTGGGCCGATGCGTCCGCAGGTTCGCGGGGGTGCAGTGCGTCTGGTCTTACGAGGTAAGAGCAGAAAAACGTGTGTTAGTTTGGTCATTGGTCCTGAACCAATCATAGGAAACTGGTGATATCCACTTTAAGGCTTAACATTGGTGTTAAGTTAGTACTTTTATTTGAATTCCCTCTTATTACCTTTTCTCTTGGTTTTTAGAATATACCTTTTATACTTTTGTCCTGAATACCTTAGTTAATAAATAATGACATTTGGAGCCCAAATAAAAGATAGGTTTGCTGCAGGTCACAGTGATTTTTCATGATTATTCAGAAAGTTCATCTACTCTGTGCTGATTGCACGAGAGAGGGGAATTTTCCCAGAGGCCTGGCTTCTCGTCTGGTCATGTTGACCCACACAGTTTAGAAACTTACATGTTCTGAATTCATAAAATTAGTAATGATGTAAAAAAGCCAGTACCATTTGGCTTTGCATTTATTTTAAACCTTGGCATCTTAGACAATTACTGTAATCTCTAAGTTTGCAGTATAATTGTTCTTTTCAGAATAGGTGGTAGGCAACTTCTGAGAGATCTTGACACATAAATGCAGTTTTTTGAAGGCAGTCTACTTGTAGATGTTTTCTCTTTAACAGCTCTAGAGAACGTGAGTTAGCTTTTCTCTCTTTTTATTGGCAGACATGCACCTCTTGCCTGCAGGTGCAGGATCTGATCTTAGAGTGGAAAAAATTATTTAGATTATGTTGTGTTTAGGTTGATAAACTACCAGTAGTTGTGAGGAGGAAAGGGAATTGCTAGACCTTTTGTCCAAGAAAACACTTTCCGTTGTAAACTGTTAGCTTTTCTTCTGAGTTAATTTTCTAAGGTGCTTGAGTGAAGAAACAGTATTCTTGCCTGTGCTTGCCTTCCCCCAGACTTGGTTTTAAATGTCCCCTGTCACTGTGTGTTTCATTTGAACTTTTAGGGAAGTGGACATTCTCAAGTATACAGGAAGTAGTTTTCATGTAGTTTCTAATTATAAAAGATAGGTTTTAAATCCCAAATGTGGTCTGGTGAGCCCTCTAAGCTCTGTGTGCCCCTCCCCCACCCTCTCCCCATGCAGGGTTGGTTACTCACTGGGTCTAGGGGGGATCTCTCTTGTCATGCATCCTTGAAGCAGGGGAAGCTATTTGGGGATTTCATGCAGTTTTAAACAGAGAACAACTGGCAGTATTTCTGCGTTTTCTCCATCCTTAGTTAAGTAGTTATAACCTTAGCATGTTTCGTTATGGTTAAAATATGTAATGCCTTGTGTATTTTGGAATGCTTCGGGCTGCCCCTGATCTGTGAGCAGCTAGCCTTCATGCTGGAATTGTGGAGGATAGGCCCACCTTTGAGAGAGAATTTTGGAAAATAAGTGTCTAAGTGTCGCCTGTTTTATCTCACATACTGCTAGGCAGATGCTGGTAGAGCCAGTACCTAGAGTTAGTGCCAACATAGTTAGAAGGTACTGTCCTGGGGCTGCAGGGGTTGGGAGAAAGTTTTAGGTCTATTTCCCCCTCTTATGATGTAATGGCCAGAGTTTTCTATGGCCTGAAGCCAGGGTGCCTGGACTCATCCTGTCTGGACACTCGGAGACGCCTCTGTAGGCATCTGGTAAGTGACCTTCTTAGCTAAAGGGATCTGTTGGGGGAGGAAGCTCCCTGGCAAGGTAGTTCCTTGTCCCCACCTGGGTCTCTGGGGGAGGAGTCAGCTTCAGGTGGCAGCCCTGCTGCTTTTCATTTCTTTTAAGTGCCTGATGACCACAGAGCTTTTCTTAGGTGCTGCAGACTTGCTCTCTGCAGCGTTTCTACCAGATGACCCTCTTTTTGTTGGAGAATACCTTCTCCCAGAATGTGGCTTGTCTTCATTTTATGTGGGGTATTTTTGTTATATGCAAATTGTGAATTTAAGTCCAGTCTAATTTATCATTCTTTTCCTGTAAGGTTTTTGCTATTTGTGTCCTAAGAGAACTTCCTTTTCTTGGGTCACAGGAATTTTCTCATATATATTTTTCTGTAGATTTAAGTTTTTGCCTTTCACATGTAGTTCATCGTTATCATTTTTTTTTTTTTTTAAGATTTATTTTTTCCTTTTTCTCCCCAAAGCGCCCCCGGTACATAGTTGTGTATTCTTCGTTGTGGGTTCTTCTAGTTGTGGCATGTGGGACGCTGCCTCAGCGTGGTCTGATGAGCAGTGCCATGTCCTCGCCCAGGATTCGAACTAACGAAACACTGGGCCGCCTGCAGCGGAGCGCGCGAACTTAACCACTCGGCCACGGGGCCAGCCCCTCATCGTTATCATTTTTAAGAGTTCTGAACTATTGGGACGTGTACCATTTTATTAGGCTTTTAATTTCTTTTTTTTTCCTTTCTTTTCTCGTAGGGCCTTAAGTGCTTCTAACCTAAGTCGTTATTAGGATTTATCGTGTTTGCCGCTCAGGCGAGTTTAATCCCTCATGTGGATGAGGTACTTTTATTAAACTTCCTGTAAATCTTGTTTCTCCATTAAGGCTCACATTATGAGAAATTATTGAGGTGGAGTCTTATGTTAAAGACAGTTACGTTAAGCTTTGGGTCTTGAAAGGTACTTATTTAGCTCTATTGTAAACCTAGCCAGAAGGTGTAATTTTTTTTTTTGCAAGTCAAAATAATGCCTGGGGTTACACTTATATAATTAAAATGGCTCATGAGGAGCAATTGTCATAATCAAAATCCACGTTCATTTCTAAGCTTGTTATGATTATTTTTGGTGGTTATTTATTAATACATGGCTTTTAAAACCTTTCTTTGGAAATAATGTTAATTTCCCAGAAAAGTTACAGAAATAAAAAATAGTACAAAGAACATCCATCCACCCTATACAGATTCACCTGTTAGCATTTTACTCCGCTTTTGTGCTCACTTGCTGGTGTTCCTGAGTATCTCCCCTCCTCCCATGTGCAGAGACGTGGACCTGTCCCCCACCGTTCGAGAGTGACGTACACGGTGGCCCTTACTTTAAATAACGTCCGCATGTTTTGACCAGGGAAATTCTCTCGAATAACCACAGCACAGCTTGAGTGAATTTAACTTGGATACTTCACCTAGCGTTTACATTCAGGTTTTGTCCGTTGACCCAGTAAAGTCCCGGGTGATTGTTTTTCCTTCTCCGTTAAGGCTCCAGCCTGGGCTCAGGTATTCATTTGGTTGTCATGTCTCTTTAGCCTCCTTTTATCTGGATCGTTTGCACAGCCTCTTTCTTTGTCTTTTATGACCTTGGCATTTTCGATAAGTGGCTTTAAATACTTCATTTTCATAATGGAAAAATACGATTGCAATATAGTAAACCGTAAGGAGGTTTTTAGTAATGCTGCTCCAGGCTTATTGAAACCTCCCACTGTGAAGACCCAGCGGCAGTGAGAGTCTGGGCCTTGAGACTGTTAACACTAATGGGTTGGCGTTATGAACTCAAGTTATACAAGATTTTTTTGAGAAACATTATTGAGAAATATGAAACAATATTTTGTTTAGGAAATATATGAAATATTATACTATTCTTTTAATAAGAACAAAAAGAAAATTGACCTAAGTAACCTACTCATTTTATTTTTAGCTTTTTACTGACGTATATTATACCTCTGGAAAAGTGCACAGATCATAAGTAAGCCTAGAGCTCAGTGGGTTTTCACAAACTGAGTACAGCTGGTAACCAACGTCTAGATCTTGCTTTTATTATTTTAACTCAACGTTTGACTAGTAATGAAGGTGTTTTGGGTGGAAAATAATTATTACTAATGAAAATTGGAGATGAGCATAGGTGCAACTTTAGAAAAAGTGTTGTCTTTTTAATAGCTAATGCTGTCAGATGGTTCAGAATTCAAAAGTGCAAAGGGTTTACTGGGATGCGTCTTCCCACCTTTGTCTCCAGCCACTGGGTTCCTCTTGTCGGTCAGCCTTATAGATAGACCGTTATGTGTAGTTAAGCAATCAAGTTTGTATATCTTCCCACCTTTTACATGAATGGTAGCATGTTTTACATACTGTGTACATCTTGCTGGTTTTCGCTTACGTGTCTCACATGATTTTCCATTTAGTACATAAAGAGCTTCATCTTTTTTTGGACATTCAGGCTATTTCCAGTTCTTTTCAGCAGTGTTTCTAATCAGTCATTTAACCCAACGTTTCCCAACCTTTTTCTCATCATGGCGCCCACATAGGGGCTGCTGCCCTCAAAGCGCTCCTGCTACCCCAATCCCTAACCACGGCTCCCCCACCCCCAACCTGAAGGGATTGTTATGTTCGCACACCTGGAACTTGTTTGGGATATACCAGTATACTGGGACACACCAGTTGTGACACTCTGGGTTAACCAGTAAGTATTTGTTAAGGGATCATTAGTGGGCCCAGCACTGTCCTCTGAACTGGTAGGAAATGTGAAAGAAGAATGAAACAGGTCTTTTTCTCCTTCAAGGAATTTAGTCTAGTTGAGGAGACAAAAACATATATTCATGAAATAATTGAAAAAAATTTAAAAGCGCAGAACCCTGTGATACTGACTTTAAACATGAAACAGTAGGGGGAATGGTAAGATCAGTGATATTCTTTTTATGGAAAGGCATATCATCAAGGGAATTTGGAATTTAGAACAAAATATGTAAGAGAAGGTCTTCCTTGTTAGTGTGACTGGCTTATAAAGGAATGTTGAACATCCTTACATCAGATGCCTGGGATTTTTTTTCTTTAAGAATAGAAGAAATAATGTTTCTTAACTGCTGATTGGCACGGAGCTGATTTGTGTTCTGGTGGTACCTTCCTCACTCCTTTAGCCTGCCCATTAACCTTATCTGGCCAAGAACCAGGCGGGCCCCTAAATGGCTAGAACAGATGCTCCAAATCCTGAGCCCTAATGCTGCCTGTTAATTCAAGGAAGAGCGCCTTGTGGCCTATGCTGAGCCTTATTCTTTTGTTCTGTAAGTTTAGTGGTTCAATTTCCAAGCTTGTAATAGATAAGAAGGGCAAATTAGCACCCAAAAAAGGGGTCTGCTATGTAAGGACTGTATCAGCAGTGTGTGGGAAGGGCACAAAGGAGAAGTGAAAAAGAAGAGAAAGTGAGGCTGTGAACAGCCCAGCAGTCTAAAGACCAGCCATGTGTTACTCATTTCTCATTTTATTTCACATGATTGGAGAACATAGTTTGTATTATTTCAATTCTTTTAAATTTATTGGAACTTTTTTTCCCCCCAAGGAGGATTAGCCCTGAGCTAACATCTGCCAATCCTCCTCTTTTTTTCTGAGGAAGCCTGGCCCTGAGCTAACATCCGTGCCCATCTTTGTCTACTTTATCTGTGGGACACCTACCACAGCATGGCTTGCCAAGCAGTGCCATGTCCACACCTGGGATCCAAACCAGCGAACCCCAGGCCGCTGAAGCAGAACATGTGCACTTAACCACTGCTCCACCAGGCTGGCGCCTGGAACTTTTTTTATGGCCTTATGTATGGTCTACTTTGGAGACTGTTCCATATGCACTCAAGAAGGAAGGTGTATTCTGCTGTTTTTGAGTTGAGCATTCTGTTGATGTCTGTTGGGTCTAGTTGGTTTATATGTGATCAAGTTTTCTCTTTCCTTGTTGGTTGTCTGTCTGGTTGTTCTGTCCATTCTTGAAAGTAGGATATCAAAGTCTCCAGTATTATTGTTGAATTGTCCATTTCTTCCTTCAATTCTGTCAGTTTTTGCTTCATGTATTTTGGGGCTCTGGTGTTAGGTGCATATATGTTTATAACTGTTAGATCTTCCTCATGTAAAGGATGAACCTTTCAGCCTTATAAAATTCCTCCTTTGTGTTTAGTAACAATTTTTGTCTTAAAGTCTGTTTTGTCTTATACTGGTATAGCCACTCCAGCTCTCTTTTGTTTACTGTTTTCATGGTATATCTTCTTCCATCCTTTGCTCTCAGCCTTGTTTGTGTCTTTGGATCTAGAGTGTGCATCTTGTAGGTGTGTAGGTATGTAGATCTGATAGGGTCGGATTTATGGCTGTCATTTTGCTATTTGTTTTCTATATCTTACCTTTTTTGTTCCTCTATTCCTCCAATTCTGCCTTCTTTTGTGTTAAATAGATATTTTCTGTATGTTTTCACTCTTGTCATTTCTTTTACTTTAGTTTTTTGAATTATTTTCTTAGAAGTTGCACTGAGTGTTATAATGAACTGCTAAGAGCCTAGTTCAGATTAAATGCCAACTTAATAACAATAGTATACAAAATCTTTGCTTCTACATAGTTCCATTGTCTCCGCACTCTTTTGTGCTGTTATTGTCATATGAATTATATCTTTATACATTGTATGCTCATCAACACAGATTTGTAATTATTGCTTTATGTAGTTGTCTATTAAATCAGATTCAAGAGAAAAAGAGTTACAAACAAAAAAATACATTTATACTGTCTTTTATGTTTACCTCTGTAGTTACCCTTATTGGGCTCTTTACTCATGTTTTTCAGTTATGGTCTAGTGTCCTTTCATTTCAGTCTGAAAGACTCCCTTTAATATTTCTCATAAAGCAGGTTTGCTTGTGACAAATTCTACCAGTTTTTGTTTGAGAATGTAGGAGAATGCCCTCATTTCTCCTTCACTGTTGAAGGATGGTTTTATTGATATAGAATTCTTGTTTGACTGTCTTTTTTTTCTTTTTCTTTTTCTTTTGGTGAGGAAGATTGGCCCTAAGCTAACAACTGCTGCCATTCTTCCTCTTTTTGCTTGGGGAAGATTGTGCCTGAGCTAACATCTCTGCCAATCTTCTATTTTGTATGTGGCATGCCGCCACAGCATGGCCTGAGGAGCGCTGTGTAGGTCTGCGCCCAGATCCTAACCTGCAAACCCCAGGCCGCTGAAGCGGAGTATGCGAACTTAACTACTACACCACTGGGCCAACCCTAATCATCTTTTTTTCCAGCACTTTGAATGGGGGCTTTCTGGTATCCATAGTTACTTTAAAAAAAAAAAAAATTGTTTTTGATGTAAGTATAGTTGATGTACAGTATTATATTAGTTTAGGGTGTACAACTTAGTGGTTCGACGTTTATACACACTATGAAATGATCATCACAAGTCTAGTAACCATCTGTCACCATAGAAAGTTCCTACCATATTGTCAACTGTATTCCTGATGCTGTGCATTACATCCCTGTGACTTATTTATTTTACACCGGGGAGTTTGCACCTCTTAATCTCCTTCACCTGTTCTGCTCGTCCTCCCATCCTCTCCCCTCTGGTAACCACCAGTTTGTTCTTTGTTTCTATGAGTTTGCTTCTGTTTTGTTTTATTTATTTGTTTTTGTTTTGTTTTTTAGATTCCACATATACGTGAAAACATACAGTACTTGTCTCTCTTTGTCTGACTTCCTTCACTTAGCGTAGTAACCTCTAGGTTCATCCATGTTGTTGGAGATGCCAAGATTACTTTTTTTAATGGTTGAGTAATATTCTTTTGTGTATATATACCACATATTCTTTATCCATTCATCTACTGATGGGCATTTAGTAGGTTGCTTTCATATCTTAGCTAATGTAAATAATGTTGCAGTGAACATAAGGGTGAATGTATCTTTTCAAATTAGTATTTCCATTTCCTTCAGATAAATATCCAGAAGTGGAATTGCTGGATCATACTGTAGTTCTATTTTTAAGTTTTTGAGGACCCTCCATACTGTTTTCCATAATGGAAATTTACGCCAATTTACATTCTCACCAGCAGCACACACGGGTTCCCTTTTCTCCACATCCTTGCAAACACTTGTAATTTGTTGTCTTTTTGATATTAGACATTCTGACAGGTGTAAAGTGATATCTCATTGTGGTTTTGCTTTGATTTTCCTGATGATTACTGATGTTGAGCATCTTTTCATGTATCTATTGGCCATCTGTGTATCTTAGGAAAAATGTCTATTCAAGTCCTTTGCCCATTTTTTAATCAGATTGTTTTTTTGGTATTGAGTTATATGAGTTCTTTGCATGTTTTGGATATTAACCCCTTGTTGGATCCATTTGCAAATATCTTCTCCCATTCAGTACGTTGCCTTTTCGTTTTGTTGATGGTTTCCTTTGCTGTGCAAAAGCTTTTTAGTTTGATGTAGTCCCATTTGTTTATTTTTTCTTTTGTTGCCTTTGACTGAGGAGACAGATCCAGAAAAAGAATTGCTAAGACTGAGGTCAAAGAGCTTACTGCCTGTGTTTTCTCGTAGGCATTTTATGGTTTCAGGTCTTATATTTATAAGTCTTTAATCCCTTTTGAGATAATTTTTGTGTACTGTGTAAGAGAGTGGTCCAGTATCATCCTTTTGCATGTGGCTGTCCAGTTTTCCCAACACCATTTATCAGAGAGACTGTCTTTTCGCCACTGTGTATTCTTGTCTCCTTTGTTGTAGATTAATTGATCATATAAGTATGGATTTATTTCTGGACTCTGTTCTGTTTCGTTGATCTCTGTGTCTGTTTTTGTGCCAGTACCATGCAGTTTTGATTACTATAGTTTTGTATATTTGAAATCAGGGAGTGTGATGCTTCCAGCTTTGTTTTTCTTTCCCAAGATTGTTTTGGCTGGTATCCATGGCTTCTGATGAGAATCAGTTGTTAATCTTATTGAGGACCCCTCATATGTGATGAATTGCTCCTCTTGCTGCTTTCAGGATTCTCTCTAGCTTTCGACAGTTTGGTTATGATGTGTCCAGGTGTGGTTCTCTTTGAATTTATTGTACTTGGAGTTTTTTGAGCTTATTGGGTATGTGTATTGTTTTTTGTCAAATTTGGGAAGTTTTCAGCCATTATTTCTTCACATATTTTTTCTGCCCCTGTCCCTTTCTTGCTTTTCTTCTGGGACTGCCATTATACGTGTGGTCAGGCTCTGTTCATTTTCCTTCGTTCTTTTTTCTTTCTACTCCTCAGACTGGGTAATCTCAATTCTTCTCTCTTTAAGTTTGCTATTTCTTTCTTCTGCCTGTACAAATCTATTGTGATTCTTTTCATTCCAGTTATTGTACTTTTCAACTCCAGAATGTCTTTTTGGCCCTTTTTAAGTAATTTCTGTCTTTTTTGGGCTGCTTTTCACCTCTGTATGGGCGACACTTCTTTCTTTTCACGTCTTAGAATTTCTTGTTGGAAAGCGAACATTTTAAGTAATATAACGCAGCAACTTGGAGATCAGATTCTGCCCTCCTCAGGGTTTGCTGCTGCTGCTGCTGTTTAGTGACTTTTTAGAACTGATTCTGTTAAGTCTGTGTTCTTTTTGGTGGTGGTCACTGAAGTCTCTGCTGGGTTTGCTTAGTGGTCAGCTAATGACTGAATGGAGATTTCCTTACGTGCCTGGAACTAAGAAGTCTCCCAGTCTTTGCTGGGGGCTCGGTGTACCTGTTGGTGCCTGCCTCCAACACTCACCACGTGGTGTTCAGCTCTTCCTTAGCCTCACCTCCTGCTGTGCGGAGCCTCAAGGTCAACCAGAGATGAAATCCTAGGGCCTTCTCAGGTGTTCCCTGGGCACGTGCACAGCCCCATGCATGTGCATGGCCTTCCAGATTCCCAGGAATATAGGGAAGCCTTTCAGAGCCCCTCGTGGACATCTCATACCCCAGCTTTTCTTTTCAGCCTTTTTGGTTAGCCTTTGTTTTGCCCCACCTGTTAGCCACCTCCTCAGGCAGCATGATATTCAACAATTGCCAGTGATTGTTTTCAGCAAATATCTCCCCACCCCCACCCCAAGAGACTGTTTGCAGTGGAGGCTATGAGTCAGGCCAGATAAAGACAGCCTTGCAGGTGGGATCTGCCAGAGAACCACCAGGCAGGTCATGTGACAACAGTTCTCTGGGATAGGGGCTTTGAAGGAGGGCCCTCCAGCCCCATTCTGCCCGCTCCAGTGGCTGCAAGGCTGCTGGTTTTCCCTGTGATTTTGGGCTCTTGGTTTTCAAGGTTACTGCATTGCCAGGGAATAGGGAGTGGAAATAGGGCAAATTAAAACACCACAAAACCCACTGTTCTTACCAGAATTTCACCGCTTTTCTTGTGTAAATGCTTCCTGGATTACTGCAAGCCTTTGGCTAATATCCAGAGTCCTGAAAAGATTGCCTCAAATGATTTTTGCCCATGTTCTCGTTGCTTTTATGGAGGAGAGAATTTTTCAAGATCTGTACTCTGCCATTTTCATTGATGTCACTTAAGACCATCCATTATGGGTCCTCAGCGTCACAGCTTAAATTTTGCTTTTTACAATTGGATAGATCACTCTGAGTATCCTTTGATCCTCTGTTTAAGAAGTCAAGGAATTGTGCCCTAAGTATTAGACTCCCAACCAATCAGTTACAATATTCACAAACATTCATTTTTCAAATACATGTTGAACATCTGCTGTGATCAGGACACAGTTCTGGCTGGGGACCCAGCAGTGCAGAAAGCCAAGGCACTGCTCTTCTGTTCTGGTGTGGCTGGGCTGGGTGCAGAGACACATGGTACAGGGCCGTGTGTGTGATGTGTTTCAGACATGGCGAGGGGACTGATGTTGCCAGAGTAGGGTGAGCAAAGGGAGAGAGGTGAAAGATGAGGCGAAATGGCACAAATGTTGAAGGAAGTGCAGGAGTAAGGGGTGAGGACATTCTTGAGGGCACAGTAGACTGGGCTTGAGTCACAGTTCATTTGGCTTCACTCTTCACCAGCTGTGTGATCTTGGGCAGCAAGTTACCTAACTTCTCTGGACCTTAATTTTCATAAAAAACAGGATAAGAAATTGCCTACCTTATAGGATTATTTCAAGGATTAATTGAGATGATGCATGTTGTCATAGCTAGTCCTTCGCACAGAGCAAGTGCTTGTGAAAAGCTCAGATTGTTGGGGGTTTCCTCAAGGATCTGGAAAACCGAGCCATTCAGAACTCATTCTCTGAGGATTTTGCATAGATTTTGACCTATATAAACAAATACTTGAATATGATTTGTAGTAACATTGTGGTCTCGGACTCTCTCTGTTTTGCTTTTACAATTTACAGAAGACTATTCCAACAGAACAAATCGAAGTTTACCTAAAATGAAGAAGTTAGTTGCTTTGGAGCTGTAATTATTTTACTGGCAAAACAAAACCGTCTCTGGGTACATAAACATCTCTGAAATGGTTTCACCGCTTGGTATATCAGAGTCTTGTGGTTGTGAGGGAGAAGGTGTGAATCTAGAGGCAGATTGATGTGTCTTTATAATGTTCAAGCTTGGTAGGAGAATGTTAAAGATATTCTAAGTTTTACATATTAATCACCTTTCCTAGTGGAAGGGCATCACTGGGCTTATGTAACTTACGTTTGGTTGACAGGAAAGGGCTTCTTAGCCACCTTGTCAGGAGCTGGGATTGCTAGATCATTTTCTTTATCTTAAGTTAGAGCTGAGTAGCATTTCCTGTATGGTTGAAAAGGTTGAGATCACAAATGTCATCCCTCCAATTCCTGCAGTAAACTGACAATCTGCCTTTTAAATCTTCTGTTGGTGTTCAAAGTGCCGTACAAGCCACTGCGAGGTAATAAGAGTAAAATGCGCTCCGAGAGCCTGTCAGCATGTGACAATAGACTGATCTGTATGAAAACTGTGTCACTACCTAATAACAGTAAACCAGCAATAAACCAGGGCAAAATAGTATAAGCTACACAGGAGAATGTGGAGGGCTCTGGAAGAATTAGAGCAAGGTGGCATGCATTGGGGACGGTGGGAGGAGGCTGGCATTGCCTGGGCCACCTCCTTCTCTAAAGGTGGCTGGATTTCTGGACTTCTGATCAGGCTGGTATCCTTTCACGTTTGTAAGAGGTCGAGGGATGGCAACAGCAAAACTTTTAAAAGTTTTTAATTCCAGTATTTAATCATCTTTGTTGAACTGATAGACTGTCTGGTATCTGAAAAGTAACAAGTGAGAGGACGAAGGCAAGAATGAGTCTGATGCTGGCGGTGCTGTCTGGGTTAGGAAGAAACAGGCAGAAATAAAGCTGCCTAAGGTTTAGGAGTGTGTTGTGAATCAGTGTTTCTCAAACCTGTGTGACATAGGGACCTTTTTCAGTGGGAAAATTGTGTGCACGTATGTATACACGTGTCTGTGTGTGTGTGTATGTGTCTGTGTGTGTGTGTACTTCAACTACTAGCATTGCCTGTAGGTTTTATACTGTGTTACTCTTTCTCGGAGGAGGCCGTCTGGAGAGAATCGCTTGAGTTGCTGGTTACAGAGCAGCTTTCCAGGCGCAGCCCCGGAACCAGCCTCCTGGCAGGTGGAGTCCAGTTGTCCTCACTGTTGACAGGTTTCTCTGGTGATTCTTCTACTTGGTCGTGGTTAAGAACCATCGATACCGATTATGCTCTTACATTTTTTATGATCCACTGATGTTTTGGAACTGGGTAGAGACTGAAGTGATGTTTTCGTCAGTCATTTCGCTGACCATCTCATTTAGCCCGTTTTGTGCAAAGCATTGTCCTGGGCAGCCGGGAGGACGGGGAAGGAGGAAAGGACTTTGACTTTGGTCTTTCCAGTAACTGATAGTCCGGCTGGTGGGGAAGCCAAATGTGGCAGTGTCCCTCGTTGTGTGTGTTTGACAGGCTGATGGCTTATGTGTTTTTTGCTTTTCTTCCCCGCTCTAGGCCATGTTAACTGCAGTGAGTTGTGTAACCAGATAAAAGCCAGTGAAGATGAGAACTGGTCAGCAGTAAATCCTGGGTGAGGACAGGAAAGAAGCTCCATGAGATGCCATGATGAAAAAACAAAGAACTTTTGGCCAGAGATTAAACTGACAAACACTTTAAAGCTAAAACGAAATGATATTTTTAATATCTTTCTGTCTCTGCAGTTGATGTTTTCACAAATGTCTGTTTATGTGGTCTGGTTATAAATCTTTCTCAAGCCTCGGTTTTTTTTTTTTTTAAAGCCTCAGCTTTTGTTAGTTGCCATGAACCATAACTTGAGATTTATCAAACAAATTTCAGTTAAAAAAAAAGTAGTTACAAAGTATTTATTAATTGCTATGGTGGTTTTAACATTCACAAAGTTTTTGATAATCCTCGCTCCTGGAGGGAGAGCTTACTTTTCCTCTCTTTGACAGTGGCCAGACTCAGTGACTCATTTCTAATGAATGGAGTGGAGAGTGGGAAAGATAGTACCTTTATAGTAGAAACACCTGGCAGACCCCACCTTTCCGGCTCCAGTGTTAGGTCAGGTGTGTATCATGTGCTCCCGGATGCGATGGGACGAGAAGTCTCTTCACCTCTGCGTGGTCCTCCCCTAAAGCCGTAACTCCAGCCTAGTCAGGAGCAGACGTCAGGGAGACCCGGGGTGAGGGACATTCTACAGAATACCTGGCCAGTGTTCTTCAGAAGTGCCACGGTTGTGGAAGACTGCAGAACTGTCACAGGCTGGAGGAGGAGGTCAAGGAGGCACGAGGACTGAATGCATGTGGGGTCCTGGATTGAGAAAAGGGACAGTAGTGGAAAAACTGATGACATCTGGATAAAGCCTGTGGTTTAGTTAATAGGGTTGTGTGACTGTTAATTTCTTAGTTTTGATATGCGTAGCATAGTTACATGAGATGTTAACCTTGGTGGAAGTGGAGTGAAGAGATGGGAACTCTCTCCTTCTTTACAACTCTGCTGCAGATCTGAAATTATTTCAAAATAGAAAGTGGTTGAACCCAGAGATGATCTAATTGGGCACAGAAGTGAGGTTGCCTTCTCTGCCACTGTGTCATGTTGACTGCTCAGTGCCCTGGGGAGCTGGGGTGAAGCCACAGAAGACTAGATCTTCTGTGAGTCTGAGTGGATATTGTGCAGGATGTGATTTTTAGCTTATTGACTTCTAGGAAATCTAAGACAGAAAGGTCTTTGTTTGAGAGGGCTGCAGACTTCTAACCCTCATAAAGAGCTTATCATTTGAGCAAGCTCATAATGTACCGTGTTATTACTGTAAGAAATTTGTAATGGTACCGTTACAGCAGAACTCTTCCCTGGCCGGAAAGAATCGCTCAGCGTTCCCCTCACAGTTGCTGCCAGCGCTCTTGCTGCGCCATCACGGTTAACCCTGCAGCATCTGTTTCCGTTTTCTCTCAGTGAGCCCTTGCAGGGATAAGGAAATCGGTACAAAGTTACTTTCTTTGAATGTCTGGCATTTATTTTCAGAGGTTTTTCTTTTGAAAAATACTGTCGGCACTGCTCTTCCTTTGTCTATGTTAATGTCTGTGCGTTGCCCTTCAACAGAATACTCATTTTAAAGACATAAGACTTGTTTATAATGATGTGGTTTATTTAAGGCAGAAAGTTGAGTACATTCTTCTTTTTTTTACCACCAGAGGAATGCCTCTTTGCTTTTTAGGTTTTTATAAATTGATTCTGTAACGATTTAGAGTTATGGTTGTTTTATGAGGGTAAGATGGATGTGGAAATTGAACTATCCCAGATGATACAAACATGGTTACATTTTTTTTAATGGTTAATTCATTACAAAAACTATCAGGGCTGGCCCGGTGACTTAGTGATTAAATTTGCGTGCTCTGCTTCCGTGGCCCGGGGTTTGCAGGCTCGGATCCCAGGCAGGGACCTGCTCATCACTCATCAAGCCATGTCGTGTCAGCGTCCCACATACGAAATAGAGGAAGACTGGCACAGATGTTAGCTCAGGGACAATCTTCCTCAAGCAAAAAGAGGAAGATTGGCAACAGTTGTTAGCTCAGGGCCAATCTTCCTCACCAGAAAAACCCAAGAAACCTATTTGCATGCCTGCTATATGACAGACCCTGTTCTAGACACTGGGGCTGCAGCTTTGAGCACAGCAAAGCCTGTTCTTGTGACGTGTTTATTTCTCTATGAGGACATCAGAGAATAAGGAGACACGTATATACTGGTGGGTGGTGGTAAGCCCTCTGAAGAGATACAAACATGATAAGGGGATAGAGTGATGGGGGGAGGGGCCATGATAGTCCAGCTGAGAGAGTGAGAAACCAACCTTGTTTATTTCCAGCGAAGACCATTTCCAGCAGAGAGAGTGGGAGTGCAGAGGCCCAGAGGCAAGGAATGTGAGCCTGACTAGGATGGCAGGGAGGCTGGATGGCTGGAGGGTGGCTGGAGTGCATGAGTGAGGGGCTAGATCCTGTAAGGCCTGTCTGTGATAAAGGCTCTGGGTTCTGTGCTGAGTGGGCTGGGAAGGCTCTGGAGTGCTGGGAGCTGATGCTTAGAGGACCCCTCTGATTGGTGGGTGGAAAAGAAACTGCAGGGGAGTAAGAGTGGGAGCAGGGAGATTGGTGAACAGGCACATCTCAGGGAAGAGGGAGGAGCTTGGCCCAGGGTGGTAGCCGACAGCGTGGTAAGCAGTGGCTAGATTGTGGGATTTTGAAGGTAGAGCTGATAGGACTTATTGTGGGGAGAGAGGAAAGCTGCCTGAGCAGTTGAGGGGCTAGAGTTGATGGGAGAGAGACAAGCATGAGTCATCTGCATCTAGACGTTACTGAAAGCCAGAGGACAATGACGTCACCCAGGGAGTTAATGGAGATAGAGCAAAGGCCAGAGGGCTGAGCCCAGGGGCTTCCAGGGATTAGAAGTCAGAGATGAGGAGGATCCAGCAACAGAGATGAGCAGGATAGGCCAGTGAAATAGAAGGAAAACCTTACCCTTGACTTACGTTTGCCCACGGTTTAGTTTGCAAGTTTGAACTTGGAATGTTCGAACACTCGCCATTTGGGTACTTGTACAGTTGGCTTGGAAGTTGGTGATGTGGCAGGTTTTCATCAGAAGTGAACATTATCTTCTTTAAAAAGAGAATTTTCTGATAGGGGTGGACAGGGTGGGAGGTGTAGCTGACATAATGGTGGAGAACCCTTTTATCTCCTGATGACTTGTGCAGGAACAGTATTTGAAGCTAATTAACCTTGGGGCAGCCGGAGGACCAGAGGACCACAGATGGCTGGTGGCCAACACTGGGGGAGAAGCTGCTGTAGGGGAGGAGGACATTTCTTCTCCCCAAACATGGGTTCGTCTGGCCGGAGAACGAATTAAATTCACATGAGACAGAATAGCAAGAGAAAATTAAACAAAGCTTTATGAGGAACCATGGCCCGGGGCCTTTCTTCCCAAAGGAAGAAAGGGCACCGAAGAAGTGGGGTGCACATAGTGGTTATATACCCCCAAAGAGGGTGTTTCACATGTGATTGACATGTCCCTCCTGATGTGGGGTCGGTGAGCCGAGGAGTCGAAAGAAAGATTTCTTAGACTCAAGATCTGGCAGTAGTGCTCTTTTATTTAGAGAATAGAATAGCATGGGGACAGGACCCATGGGCAGTCAGGCTGCTGCGTGGGGACAGGACCCACGGGCAGTCAGAGATGCTGCTGGCATGGGGAGCTGCTGCTGCCGCCACTGGCATGGGGACAGGACCCATGGGCAGGCAGAGCTGCTGCCGGCATATTGCTGCTGCCGCTTCTGCTGCCTCTGCTGCTGTTGCTTCTGCTGCCCCCGCTGGCATGGGGACAGGACCCAAGGGCAGGCAGGGCCGCTGCTGCTGCCCCTGCTGGCATGGGGACAGGACCCATGGGCAGGCAGAGCTGGTGCGTGGGGACAAGACCCACGGGCAGTCAGAGCTCCTGCTGCTGCTGCAAAGTTGGGTGGAGAGTAAGGCTAAATTTAAGACAGAGGTATGTGAGTTATCTCTTTACAAGCCAAAGAATATGTAAAAAAGTTAAAAGGGTATCAGTGCCTGTATGGTCTGGCCATTTGGCGGTCCCACAACTTTTAGATAAGAATTAAACTGGATTGAGTAAATGGCAGAAGTCACCGCTTGAATTTTATCCTCAGCTAAAGACAAAGGAGGATTTGGGGGGGGGGGGGGTCAGTTACTTGAGGTTGCCAGACAGTAACCAACTTAAGTTCTTGCCTCTGGCATTGATTAAGAGCTTCTAGAGATAAGGTCATCTCCTTTCTTCTTCCTGGTACAGAGAGGGAGGCACCTTTTACAGATAGAGATTTACCTTACAAATGTAAATGTGTCCTAACAAAGGGCAAGTTCCATTCCTCCTTCCTTGTCCCAGTTTATCAAAAGCAATCAGCCTCAAATAATCCTGATGCCAAAGAGACATATCTTGAGGTGGCCAATTTCAGGTCCCCACAGTGCAACATTGTTTGCTTGGAGTAGTAAACTGTGGGGCTTATGCCCCTGTGTTATAAAGGTTTTATTTATCATGAAACTTGACATTCACTTATATTGATTTAAAACTGCTTTCTTTTGCTTACTTTTTAAAAGATAAGCCACTCACTCCGTAAAATTGCGTGCATCATCACAAAGTCACTTCACAGCCTTTACTAATTGATATAGAAATGGACCAGGGCTCAGCTTTTCTGTTATCGTCTTTGGCCTTTAGAACTAATAGAAGGAAAGCTTGCTGATCACCAGGTGATCTGTCATTTTTTAACAGTTATGGTAGATTAATAAAATTTCTGAGTAGGCACTTAACTTGGAAGGTAGAAATCACTGTTAATTTCAGAAGAGAGTTATAATTGAACATTTGTCAGTTAAGTCTTTGGAGTAAATAATTTGGTTTTGGAGGGAGGTGAGGTTTAAAGGCTATTTTATGCTTTTGGTGTGGAGAGAACCTATTTCAACTGCTCTCCCGAGCCTCAGTGTGGTCTTTGAAACGAGGTTCCTTCACTCTGCCGGATGCTGAACTGCAGATGCTGAAGCGCTCTGCTCAGAACTGGTGTCGAGGCAGTCCAACTGCAGGGCATGCACTTCGGGCTCGAGTGCAATTACGTTTTCTTTATCTGTATAGTATTGCACTGCACACTACCTTTTTATTGTAAATGTTGCCAGTATTCATTTGAAAAGAACCAATAAAGTTCAGTTGTTGAGAACTTTAGGCAGAGGGAAGTTTTCATGGTTCTTACATTTCTTTGGTGGGATGTTTTTAGTGTGCTCCTGTGCCTGAGGTAATTTTCAGCTGATGGCACTTGGGCCTCTGTCAGTTATTTGTTAGACTCTTGCCACGCTAGTGTGAATGGCTAGTTTAAAGCAGTGGTTGAAATGGGTGTAGAGGGGTGGACCTCAACCTAAGAACAAACAGAAGTGTTTGCTCTCCAATCCCTAGAATTAGTCTTCGGATGATTTCATTGTGAAAGAGAGCGGCAGAGCAGACACCCCTGCATCAGCTTCTCAAGAAATTAGTAAACTCGTCCTAAAATTCCTCAAAAGTCACTTTAAAGATGCTGATCAGGATCTTCTGAAACAAGTCCTCTGAATTCTCTGACCTTGAGGAAGGTGTTTATTAACTAATTGAGTTTTAGACAGTTCAGAAGATGGCAATATCCCACATTTACAGTTGATTTTATGTGGTATTCTCTAGTCATCCCTATAGAAGGAAAGAAGGTATCACATCCCTGGTCAGAAATCTTCATTCTCTGCTGTAATTTTGCAGAGGAAATGCATTAAATATCATCTTGATTTATAATATGTACGGTAGGTTGAGTAATGGCCACCCAAAGAGATCAAGTGTTAAT